CTGGCCCCTTCCACCCCACTTGTTGGTTCAACATTTACCAACATCTATTATATGCTAACACTGAACCAGGCACTGGGAGTACAAAGATGAAGAAGAAATGATGCCTACCCTCAGGAGCCAGAGTAACAGGGAAAAGACTTATAAAGGGGGTGGGGGGAGAGTAAATGAAAAGAAGCTAGGAAGCACTGCCCCAGAAGAATCATATTTCACTTGGCAAGGAACCTCAAGGGTGCTGGTACCGATTAAATGCCCTAGAAACTTAAGCCCTAGGATTGTGAGTTCTGTCAAAGCAAGAAGGCTACTCAGTCTCAGTCTTTATTCCCTGCCCACCTCATCTGCTTCCCACGCCATGAGAGTGAGCAAGACTCCTTTCTCTCCTTTATCTTCTTTGGAAGATTGGGAGAAGGGACCAGGTCGGCTCCTGGAAAGCCATTTTTCCCAGAAACAAAATTCCAATCCATAAGAAATCTAGATTTTATTTGCGAGACCTATAGTTCAGCAAAAGAGTTTGGGAGAGTCAAGTACTTCCCTAACAACCCAATTTTAGGCCATTAGAATAGTTGTAGATCTCCAAGGAACCTCTGGAGAACAGAAAGAAGAAATCTGTTTCAAGGAGCATGGACCTGAGTTCATGGGTCACCTTAAACAGAAACCTTTAAGAGGTGACTCTTCTTTCTTCCTTCCTTAGAACAAAAGGAAGGAGACTTCAAATGATTATATAAATATGTAAGGGTACATCAGTACTAAAAATAATGCTTTGTATATCTTTAGCAAATCCTTTCATGATTACCAAGGTGTTTTAAAGTGATTCTCTGATCGCTAAAAACAGTTCTGTGAGGCTAAAAAAGTAGTAATCATTTTGATTTTTACACAGTCCAAGCACACTTTACAAAGAAGTATAGTCCTTCAAAGATACAATCTATGAAAGATGTCCTGCCCCTAAAACACTCTTAAATCATTATGTGATTGACATAGCATCCTACAGAAAGAAAAGTGCAGAGGAACATCATCCTAAACATTTCAGTGAAAAAGCCAGCCATGAAAAACACAGGCTAAAGGTACACTAACTAAAGGAAATCAGAGTGAATATTTTGAATTAGGTAGAAGGTTAAATATTATAAGAGGGACCTAAAGAAACAGATCTAATAGATCAAACAAGCAGTTGTTGAGCTTCTGTAGTCATGACCATCATGAGACTTATCACTGAACACCTTATTAAACTAGTTGCTCCAAGGGCATGTTCCAAAACATGTTTGGGCAGCCCTGGACCAGCCTACCAAAACTAAGCACTCACTGCCACCACATAATCAGCACTGTCCTGCTCTATTCATTCTTCATGTACCTTGCCTGCTTCCAAGTGCCTCCTCTGGGCTCTGCCTATTGGCAAAGCATTTGTGTACTTACTATTCAGTGAAGAACCTGGCAATGCCGTATTGGCTAATATCTTCCTTATTTTCTAGCAGCTGGCACACTGCATCTTCCATGTATGTGAGGACATGTCGCTGAGCTGCAAAAAAAAAAGCAAAAGAGGAAATAAAAGTGAGAGAGGCAAAAAAATAAAAGTCCTCCCAATCCCAGTAGGAGGCCATAAAAATCAATCAACGTATTGGCTCTACCCTAGGAAGTGGACTGAAATAGGCCAACCAAACTTACTGGCCCTAACAGACATACCTATGGTGCCAAACGGTAGAATTGGACATGATGTAGCACATGACTTACTGCCATCTGGTTGGCTGTTAGAATTAGCATCAACCCTTCATTTCAGTGATGAGGGTGAGCTGGAGAGGAGCTTTAGCACCATTAAGCAGATGTACCTGGAAGTTCTTTTCTTCCCACCTCCCCCCATCCTCTTCCACTTTCTGTCATGTCTCAGAAACTTATTCCATGGAAGAGTGCCTAAAGTGTACATGATCTGATTGCAGAAAACCCTCAATTCTTTAATTTAAAAAAAAAAAAGTCACTGAAAAGTTTAAGGATCATGAAAACTGGTGGTATAAGCTGTTATACTAACCTTAGAAAATAATAAATGAAATCTGTGTGGCTCAATTTATCAGAAATTATGTTTTCTGCATTTGTTGTGACTGGTAAATATTCGAATGAATCATGGGCTTATCAGAAAGGGTCTGAGTATTAGAATTAGAAAGAAATGGGCTTGAATCATGGCTCTGTCTTTGGAAGCTTAATCTTAGTTATTTAATCTGCACCTGTGTGGAAAGAAACATAATTTAACTTTTTCTCAAAATACGGCCAACTGACTTGTTGATCTGAATCATCTGAGATATCCTGTTGAATGCAGATTGATAAACTGGCACCACTCCAGACTTAGTGACCTTGAATTTCTAACTGGAGCCCAGTAATTTTTAACAAGTACCCTTGGTGCTTCTTATATATTGAAGTTCAAGAATCACTGGTTAAAAACATGGGCTCAGAGAGATCTGAGTTCCATTTTCAGCCCTATCAATTCCTAGCTATGTGACCTTGAGCAAATTACTCTCTAAGCCTATTTCCTCACTGTTAAATATGTATAATAATACTATTACTATTTGTAATAATACTATTAGTACCTACATCATAGGATTATAAGAATTAAATAAGGTAATGCATGTAAAACACCAGAGTGCCTGGCTTGCTTGATATTTTCTTAAAAGCCCATCTCAAAGGGCTATTGAGGGTGTCTACTTCAGTAAACAAAGACCAGAGCTTCTGATATATAGCCAGCACTCAACAAATGATTGTTCCTCCTCCCTGAATTTTATCTTTAGAGGTGTGACAGTGGTATCTAGGCACTCTTCACATAAAAACTTCCAATTCAGTGTTTTCCATTTACCATCCAATAGCATTTTTTTTTAAATCACAACTTTCTTTTGGAGCAGCGAGAATAAAAAATCCCCAAATGATGAATATCCTGACAAAATGCAATTCCACGAAGTTGCTGTCAAGATGGACATTTGCCTCTTTCATAGTTTTATCCCTCAGGAAAAGATGGAGAAATTACCTAAAATGAATAAAAATGAGTATTTCACAAAACTATTCCTAAAGTCCTGGTGGTCCAGTAAAACTTATAAAGCAAACAAGTTTATCTACCCAAGCTCTACTCAGAGTCTTCATTTAACGGCGACCTAGGGCTCTACCACGTGTGCACCAGCCTGAAGTCCACATGAACGACATGTTTACATTGTTACTTACTCTGCTCACTTGAGTGCTTCCCAACACTAACAACCATCAATCACTGCAAACGTTCTCCAGTCCCCCCACCCCCAAAAAGATGGGAAGACAAAATCAGTGTTTCGCCAAGAGTTCTTTCAACTGGAAAACTACTTGTCTAAGAAATGGCCAAACTGAGTGATGCTGTGAGATAAAATACATCCCAATTTCTGGTATTGTTTTACAATTAAGTATATATTAAACTGAAAGAAGAAACAGCCAAGCTAACATTAAAAACAGCTATATTTTCACTTCTGTATTCTCCTTCCCTTCCTCCACCCGCTTATTCTGATCTTACAAAAAGATTCCTTCCTTCAGCTATATGGGCCTCTATGACTTAGATCTACCTAAGTCTAGTACGGGATTTTTTTAAATGGTAGAAATGAAAGGGTTCTGCCATACTTAGAAGCAAATCTGTGCTACTTCTTCCCAGCTCCAAGGGCTAAAAGTCAGTGTTTTAAGGAAGAAATGTCTTCAACGCAATTAGAACAAAAGTACTTTTGTCTTCAAGAAAGAGAAAGAAAGAAAGAAAGAAAGAAAGAAAGAAAGAAAGAAAGAAAGAAAGAAAGAAAGAAAGAAAGAAAGAAAGAAAGAAAGAAAGAAAGAAAGAAAATTAATTAATTTCTGGGAAACAAACTGAAAAAAAAGTAGGTGAGAGAGAAAGAAAAAAATAAAGAAAAATAAAGGACTATACCTATTTAATAGTCATCTACCAATCAGGTGGTTAGAGTTTAATATTACATATAATAATGATGATAATAACAGCTACCAATTCTGAGCACCTGTGCAACTTATTGGACAACAATGTGCCAGATACTATGCTAATTATTTCATATGCATTATTCTATTTACTCTTCACAACAATCCTATGATAGGTATTTTGATTATTTCCATTTTACAAATGGGAGAACTGAGATTTATAGAATTAAAGTAATGCTCAAGATCGCACAGGTAGTAAGAGAGAAGATTTAAACCAAAGTTTGCCTCTTACCAAGAACCCATGCTCTTTACACTACACCATACTGCCTCATCACTGACATTTTATAATTAGTTTTAGAAGTAAATATGATCTTTACACATAGCACAAAGACAGGGGTGTATGTTGATAATAAAATCATCTGAGAGATGTGGTCCATTTGTGTCTATGCGAATTCATATGTGCATGTATATGGGGGTGAGGGAGGTCCTGTCCCCACCTGCATAGGTGTGCAAGCCAGTCAACATTTGTATGAAGTTAGAACTTAACCACCCACCACAGAGTATTCACCCTGCCCATCCCTACTTCACAAAGTGGAAGCAGAAAGCCCTGGTGCTCTTTTAATCTGTGGGAGAAGAAAAGAAGCTAAAAACAGCCAGCAGAGGCAGGAAAAGTTTCCTCCCTTCTGAGAATTTCACATAGCCAGTGTGAGGAGCTCTCTCTAATTGCTGCTCCCTGGTGGTTTCCTTCACCTGCAGCTCTTATCAGTTCAATGTTCCCTCTGTGGTTAGGTGCACCACCCAACCCTGGAAAATCCTTGCAGTTTATCAAACTTCAGTGAGACAGAAGTTCAAAGCTCTTGCCTGGCAATAAAACACGGAGAATGTCATTTTATATTATTTTTTAAATGCAAAGGAATAAGCTTTAATTTGTGTGAAAGATTAAAGAATACAAAATGCACACCTGCACCCCTGGAGGGCAAAGATACCTGGGTACCTTAGCTGCCCTTTGGAAAAGGAAAAACATTTCAGATTGGCTTTTTCTTTCTACTCTGCTGTGACTTCCACAAGACCAGAAATAAGTATATTTTCTAACATGTACCAATTAAGGCTCTATTGTTCTGAAATCTACACTAAGGCCCAAGCATCCATGTCTTGCTCAGATAGCATCTCTGTGTGCGATAAGCACTTCTAACTTCAACATGCTGCACTGAAAAATCTAAATGAAATGAGAAAATACTCATGATCTTTACATGAACCTCTCAAGTGAAAGCAACTGGGGATCAGAAACTTCTTGGTTCTGTTGAGTCACCTCCTGAGGATCACTTAATTTCTATACCACAGACACTCCTGCTATAAAATGATTCTGGAGTCAGGCTGACCTTGATTTGATTACTAGCTCTGGCAATTATTAACTATGTGACTTTAAGCAAGTTACCTAATCTCTCTGTCTGCCCTTTTCTATAAAATTGGGGAATAGTACCTACCATCTAAGGTTGTAGTGAGGAGTAAATAGAATAATGCATGTAATGATTTTAGCACAGTGCTTGGCATAAAGTATCAGTGTGCAATATATATTAGCTATTTTTATTATTGTTATTATTAGTTGTTACTATGCACCCCTCCCAGACATTACAAAAGACAATACAATAGGGCTTCAACACTAATGAACTCTAAGAGACCAACCTTCCATAGCCCTCTACTCATTTATAATTCTGTTTATCCAATCAAGGATGTTTATAGGTTATCTTCAAAATTCCTACACTATATGAAACCCTACACATCGTATAATAATACACATAATCACATACCCATTTCAGCTGTAGCCTTTAAACCTGTGGGAAGCATTCAGTTATTAACTGCTACTCAGGAAGCTCTAATTTATATAGGGAAAGTCCAAAACTATTTCTTTTTTACTCCTTTCCAAGGCATAAATACCATCAAAGTATTAGCTGTTTATTTTGCAGTTAAATGATAAGGGGTCCCATTTGGAAATTTTTGCTTGAGGGGCCTAGAATTTCCAACTACAACATTAGTTAGACCACTCTTATTATTATTTAATACAGAGTTCCTATATTAGAATAAACAAGTCTCACTGGAAAAGTATTCACATGAATTACTATATGTGATATTAATAGACATGCACAACAGCAATAGCAGTGTAAGAGAAAAGCAGAGCGCATATATATATATATATATATTCACTTTATTCACTCATTTTAAACAAGAAGTTTATTTAAACCACAAGACGCTTGACTTGAAGGAAAAACTAGGATTCATTTTTTTAGAGTAATTTACCCCTACTTAAAGACAGATTGCNTCACTTTATTCACTCATTTTAAACAAGAAGTTTATTTAAACCACAAGACGCTTGACTTGAAGGAAAAACTAGGATTCATTTTTTTAGAGTAATTTACCCCTACTTAAAGACAGATTGCCCTACATTTAACAGCTATGTATAAAAAAGTTATAAAATTGCCCTTAGTTTTAAAATGATAAATGAAAAACATTAAAAATTCTCCAATCAAACAAGGTATGCAAGGATTTTTATGTTGTTCTTTTTTTTTGTTAAACAGTGAGAGCAAAATAACTTACTGGAATATAAAG